TAATTAAATTATCTCTTTATAATATATAGGCCAGCAAATGATGGGCAAAAGTTTTAAGATAAGAATAAAACAAAGTATTTTCAGATCTATATGCAACAGTAGAGTTATGTGCCTAGTTGATTGGATAGTGCATCTAATAAAGAGTCAATGATTGGTCCATTGTACAATAGGTAAGCCATTGGCGTTCTTTTATCTATAGAAGATTATCATTAACTAGGTGCTATGCATTTTTTCTATCTGTTTGTTAGCAAATGAAGTTAACAACATCAACGGTAGGTGATAAAACTCTATAAATTGACTTAATTTCAGATTGTACTCATAGAAAAGTTTTTAATGATCACTTTAATTGCTTGTAAAATATTGTTAAGTTTCTTCCTATCATGAGTAATGGACTTCTCGTGACATGTTCCTAATTTTATTATACATACTCATAGTATTATTCATATTATGTTTATATTTGTATATATATAGTATTTTTTAAATTAGATGTATCTAAAGTTTTTCTATGTTAAAAACATATATGTAGGTATACACGTTACTGAACTTTTTTGATTTATGCTCATCACATGCCGTTGTGTGGTTGTAAGTCTTAGATATTCATTTTTTCTGTGAGCTAGGTTTTACGAGCAAATTTCCTTGACTTCTTCCCCTTAAAAGTGATTATACAAAAATTTATAGATCGAGACACTTATTTGGACTTCTGAAAATTGTACCTTTCCATAATAATATCTGAAAAACTTTCGCTAAACCTGTACTTATTTTATTAGGAGCATTCAAACAAGAAATGACAGGCGACATTCCAGTAAAGTACGAGATCAGAGAGTTAACTACCCGTGAAAAGGAATTAATTAACGCTTCGCTTCCTATACTTGAAGAGTCTGGGGAGATATTAACGTCCCAGTTTTATACCAATATGCTTGCTGATTTTCCAGAGGTGAGACCCTTCTTTAATGAATCTGATCAAAGGACCATGAAACAGCCAAGAATTTTGGCATTTGCCCTATTAAATTACGCTAAGAATATCGATGAATTAGCACCATTAACAGCATTTGTAAATCAAATAGTTGTCAAACATGTCGGTTTACAAGTTAAACCAGAGCACTATCCTATTGTTGGTAAATGTATTTTAGATACAATGAAATCTCTATTAGGTCCAGGTACTGCAACAGAAGAGTTTTTGACCGCGTGGGCAACTGCTTACGGTAACTTAGCGCAAATGTTAATTAATGCCGAAGCTGAAAGTTAT